AGTGAGCGAGGGAATGAGTGAGCGAGCGAGGGAGGGCCGGGCTGGGTGTCATCTCCCCACGTGCAGATGATGGATGGTCAACCTAAAATTCCACCCGCCCAGCTGGGGACCTGTCAGTGCCCTGGCTATGGAACAGTGTCCGTCTTTATTCAGAAAAGAGGAAAACGTCAGGCAGGAGACCTCCTTCCAAGGGTCTCACAAACGGTCTGTTCACAAAACCTGCTTTGACACTTCACCTCGCAGCTGAGACCACCCGGGGTCAGAGTGGCTGATGCTGGCGCCCATGTTCCAAACACCGCGGACCACAGGGCTGCCAGCCCAGTCTCGCCACATGGAGCATCTGCGGGCCTGAGGCACTCAGACCCACTGTGGAATTCCCCTGTCCACCAGGGGCCACCTGGGGTCACCTGGGGCCACCTGGTCCCTGGAGGAAGTGGAGCAAGCAGGGACCCTGGTGCCAGGCCCATTGGGAGGTGGGCTGAGACCTGAGAGGGGCCAGCTTCGGGCTGGGGGCTGTCAGTGATGGGGACTGAGCACTCTGCCGGCGACCGCTCACTGGCCTGGAGGGGCCGTGGGGTTTCCTGTCCCGGGCACTGAGTAGCTGTGGGAAGTGGCCTCCATGTCAGACTCTCAGTTTGCTCTTTGGCAAAGTAAGTCTGCTGCATCAGGTCAGCATCCACGAGAGGGTCGGCCTGGAGGATGGACGTTAATAGCCATGTTGGCTGTTGGCTGGATTGTATGTTATAGGGAATACAATCAGCTCATCTCGCCCAGGATGTCCTGGGCGTTCTTGCTTAGGGACAGCTGAGCTCCTTAGCAGGTTTTAAAGGGAGCTGACATGTAAAGAAAGTGGTGGAGAGAGGATAGTCCAGCTGACAGGGAATCGGCAGAGTCTGGGAAACCCTGGACCACGTCACATCACCCCTAAGGCTCCTTTTGGTAGAAAAATCTGCACTCCACCTCCTAGGTGCCAGGCTCTGTGCTGGGTGGTCGGGGGGTCAGCGCTGAAGCAGCCGGACCCTGTCCCTGCCTCCCCTGGAGGACACCGCCCATGGAGCTGTGACCCCAGAACGCATCTCTCCTGCCTCGCTGAGTGCTCCCCTGGCAGCCACGGTCCCCGCTGTGATCCAGGTGCTGCCTGAGCCCCGTGACCAGCGTGGCCTGTGGAGCGGCCCGTGGGGAGCGGCCCGCGGCAGAGAGCAGTGCCTTCCCGAGAATGCGCTGTGATGGGGGCGAGGTGGGGGGGGAGGGAGTTCACATCCTTCCTGGTGTGAGCCCGGCCCTGCTGCTTAGGCTGCGCGCCCTCTGGGGTGTTGTTTTGTAGCTCTGAGCCTCCGTTTCCTCATTTGCAAAATTAGGGTGATATTCCCAGGCCTTCCTTTCCTCCTGAGATAGTCTTGGTCATTAACACACACACCCCACCCCCCACACACATACCCCGCCACACACACACGGCCACACCCCCCACACACACACAAACGTGAAAGTCTTCTCTAAGCTACTATAAATGGAGGAATGCCCAGCCACCCCCACGCCCTGCAAGGCAGCGGCAGGGGCCCCGTCGGCCTCCCAGGAGCAGGCGAGTTCTCAGGGATGGCTGTGTCTTCTGACTCACAGAGCTGGGGAGCCTCAGACCCAGGACACCACGTGGCTGCCCAGGGCTCAGGGGTCACACCAGGCCTGTGAGAAGGGCTTGGGGGCTCTGTTCCTGATGCCAGCCTCAGCCATTCTGTTCCAGGGCTGTGTCTGGGGTGGACGCCGACCCTGACCTGGTCCACGTGGAAGCCCAGGACGTCGGAGGAGGTAAGCTGGGAGGGTGCGGGAGCCGGGGGCCCTGAGAGCACGCACCCCGCGGCCGGGCTCAGCTGCCCTTGTCCTTGGCGGCCGGCCCTGCATAGCCGACCTCACTGTGTTACGATGTGGCATAATTTTGAACGTGCTTGTTTTCCAGCGGGGATAGACTGAAGTCAAGGAGCTCCGCTCCAGCGGAAAAGTCTGTTAAGGGGCAATTTGTTCTGGCCCCTGAGCACTGAGTGTTTCTGGGTCACTGGGCCCCTACGCCCCGCACTGGCTGAGCACGGCGGCTGGCCAGAGGCCTCTGATGGCTCCCCCCTCTAATGGGGAGGGGGCTTCATGCCAGAAGAGCCCAGGGGCCTAGCATGCTATGAGGAAGGTCCCCTGTGTTCCTGAGGGAGGTGCATTGGTGGCAGGACCATGGAATGTTCCAGAACATAAGAGCTGACAGGACCTGTAGATTGTGCCTTCAGCAAGCGCTGGCTGGGCCCCCTGTGGACCAGGCCCAGTGCTGACCCTGCTGGGGATGCAGAGGTGACAGGACCCAGCCCTGCCATTGCCTGGTGGGGGACAGTAGGGACAAGCCCTGGGACCCTTGTGCAGCAGCGAGGGAGAGCGCAGTGGGGGCGCCACCTGGGGGCCTGCACTGCTCTGACCACATCCAGCCTCCTCCTGCCGGTCTCTCTGGAGCGAAGACCTGGGCAGGGCCACACTTAACCAACAATGGGAGCCAGCACGTGTGAGCAGCTGTTCCCTGGGTGGACCTCACCACATGGAGGACAGGTTCAGGTTCCGGGCCAGGCCACGGAGGCCTGGCTGATGACGGGAACAGTAGTGTCGGCTCCCAGCCCTCCACATGCCTGCGGCGTGAGCCTGGAAGTGACCTCAGTTTCCTGCACCTCGGCCTCCTCATCTGTGAAATGGGTCCCACATGTGGTGCTCAGTGGGGGACGTCGTGGGCCAGTGCTCGGTGAACAGAGGCTGCTGCCAGGTCCCCCATCCCTGTCCAAGCCCCTAGCTCTTCCCTGTTCCCCCTCCTGCGGCAGCATGACTGCTGCTTCCACTTCACTGAGCAGGAGAACAGAGCTCAGAGAGGCTCCGGGTTTGCCCGCAGTCACAGGATCATAGGCCAGTGCACACCCCTGTCCTGCCGTCCTCCACGCACAAAGTCAAAAGCAACTTACAGCAACACGGGGCTGACTCCCCAGCAGGGCTCAACACGGCAGGAGGAGGGGCAAGTGTCACATGCCTCCTCCCGCCTTCCCCCCACTCCAGCTACCCCAGCTTGGGAGCCCGATCAGCCCAGTCAAGCCAAACTTGGGGACACAGCATCCCAGACTTTAGGACCCACCCAACTCGTCACACACAGCCCCCCCCCCGCCATCCTGCACCACAGGCCATTCCCCAGGGTCACCTTGCACCTGTCGTCACACCTGCGGGAGCGCAGCCCTCATTCCTCCGTCTTGGGCCACCCACCCCGCCCACCGCCTCCTCTGGGCTCCACTACATCCACTGCCCTGTCACAGCTCTGCACATGCCCCTGAGCCTGGAGCTACTTGGATACAGGGTGGGGCCTGGTGATTCAGCTCTGTATCCCCCTTGGAGCCACTGAATGAGTAAGCACGTGGCCAGGTGCTGTCGCCCTGGGCAGGTGCTGGGACACTGCACACCCGCAGGACCCTGTGGCCACAATCCGTGCTGTGGACAGAGGGAAGCCCACTGCCCTGTCACACCATGTCACCACTGTCAGCCTGTCTGCCTCTCCCCAGAGCAGCAGCTGGTGGGGTCATGAGAGCCAAGCGCCCACCTCTGTTCTCAGCTCCGTAATCAGAATCATCTTGCCAGCCTGAGAGTGGGGTGGCCCACACCACAGAAACTGGCAAGCGCTGTAAATCAGCACTTTTCCCACCGCACAAGCTATCAGCACCGTGAATGGTGGTCTTTGTCTTGTTGGCAGCAGACCTGGAGTAGGGTGGGCCTGACCATAGTGAGAGGAATGAGCGAATGAGTGAGCAAGTCACTGAATGAGTGAATGAACAAATGAGTGAGTGAATGAATGAGTGAGCAAGTGAGTGAGCCGGTTGTCCACTCTGAGTCTGGCCTGGACTAGTCTCCCACAGTGTGTCCAGCCAGGCAAGCCCATGAGAAACTAGGTGTTGACCGCATAGCGTGACCAGGCCAGTGGGAGGGGAAATGGATCTGGTTCAGGAGGGAATGGGCCGGGCACAGCAGGGCTGCTGGTGTCCCTACTGGGTGCACGGTCTCTCTGGACCCTCAGCCACTCACTGAGATGGGCATTGATACCCATTTCACAGTGGAGGACCTGAGACCGAGGGGACCCTGCCGGTGAGTTAGAGCTGGTCCTCCCGGCCTCCAGCCCAGGCCCTCAGCATCCTTTGTGCTGCCCGGCCACGCAGACTTGTGGGCAGGACATGCCCCGTAGGTGCTGACATCTCCGAGCGCCCTGGCTGGGCTCCACTGGGTCTCTGTGGTTGAATCCCGCTCCTGCCCCACAAGCAGGAGAGAAGAGCTCTCCCAGGGCGTAGGCTCCTGGCCTCTGCGCAGTTCCGCGGGAGCCCCCCGCCTGGGGAACAGAGGGCTGGATGGAAGATCAGCAGCTGTCTGGCAAAGTGGACTTCAGTTTGCTCAACCATAGATATTTCAAAGGGGGTGAAAGTGTTTGCCTGAAGTTAGGGGGAGAAGTAACCCCTGAGACCCACCCACACCCACTCATTAGGTAGGAGAGACTCCAGAAGGGCGGAAGGGGTCCCCAGCCATGATGGGCACCATGGGTGACCACCATGTCCCTGCACTGTCCCTTCTGTGGGTGACCACACACACGCAGAGTGCCTAGGGAAGACCGGTGGGTGGGGGGATATGTGGGGATCTCCTGCCCACGATCTCCTGGGGTGGCCTGAGGTCTGTCTCCAAGAGAGAGGATCCCGGTGTGCACGGATGTGCAGGTGCTGCGACTAAGCCAGGGGCAGAGGGCGCACACGGCTGTAGGTGGAAGATGGATAAAGTCCTGCACTCACACTGAGGCTCCCCCGCACAACTTTAGACCCAGGTGGGCAAACACTGCCCATCAAGGCCAGCTGGTAAACATTTCAGCTTGTCTGGCCATGTGGTCTCTGCAAATCAGCTGGCAGTGTAGTGTGAAGGCAGCCGTGGGCGGCTCGTAAACGAGCAGGCTCAGCTGTGTTCCAGTGAGCCTGTCATTAGGAAAAGCTGGCAGCAGGCCGGTGACCCTGAAGGAGGCCAGTCACCAAACCTTGCTCAGCCTCAGTTTCCACCTCTGGAAGATGGGACCCTGAGAGGGTGGTCCTGAGGATTAAAAGAGCACCTAGAACAGAGAACCCCCGCTCCTGCCCGCCCGCCGCTCAGCCACAGGCGCAATCACAGGGCAGGCCCTTCCAAACCCAGCCCATAAACAACCACAGCAGCGGTATCGGCACGATCGGAACGCAGACGGAGCCGAGACCCGCTCGGCATTTACTCCCATCCGAGGCTGTGTCTGGCTCCCTCTTCGGCTGGAGCCTGAGTACCTGAGATGTCAAGTGCCCAGTGGCTGGCTCTCGCCCCTGCAGGTTTCCGGTACGTCACCTGCCAGACCCACAGTTGCTCCGATCAGACGCTGACGGTGCCGTTCGCAGGCCCCATTGACCACGGCTCACTGACGGTGCAGGACGATTACATCTTCTTTAAGGTGAGGCTGCTTCAGGGGGCTCTTGGAAAGTGGCCGTAGGTGATGTGGAGTCTGAGCCACTCTGGGGAAAATGAAGTCACTCAAACAGGAAGCACGACATGGCTATATAGCTGTCAAGTGTTACTTAATTCAGTTTCCCCCGCCCCTGTGCTGGTGCCTGCAGGCCCCCTCACACCCCCACCCCCAGGCCAGAATCTTGGCTCAGGGATGCTGCCTGCCTCTTCTCCCTCTGCCCACCAGGAGCCTCCACAGCCTGGGGCCCCCACCCCAACCCCGTACACCATCTGGTTGCGGTGGGTGGCTTTGAATTGATGGAGGCTGTCTCTGGTAATTGCCTTCAGCCACCAGGTCTCAGCTGACCACAGCCTGGGAACCAGGACCTGCTGCCTATACACACAGGTACGCAGGTCACAGCTGGGACCACCTGGTGGTCTGACCTTTCAGAAACTCCTGGGAACAACTGGTCATCCGACTTCTTGATTACTGCCACTGATGAGGAACTCAATCCTTCTAAAACAGCCTACCCTTCTCCTGGGTAGCTCAAATCTTTGGAAATTTCATTCCAACACAGAGACAATTGTCTCCTCTCATCCAGTGACCACTGTTCTGCCCTCTAGGACCCCATGAAACAAATCCAAAGGCTGCTGTGGAGATGGCCCCTTAAGAGCCACCCCCAAAGGCCCCTCCCTGCTCCCCGACCTCCTCTTTGCTGTCTCTCAGGGACATTTCATCATCCCAGCTGCCCTTCTCCATGCGCAGAATGTACCAGGGCCTCCTGCAGAGTTGGGAGCTGGAACTGAGTACATCATGGCCTGTTAGAGCAGGCCAGGCAAGAGGCTCCTGTTCCACCGGCCCAGACTTCCAGCCCTGCCCCATTCTCCTTTGCCCTCTGCTGATGCCCAGCCTCACAGCTTCTGATTCCCTTGCTGCGTTTGCACATGCTGTTCCCTGAGCCTGGAATGCCTGCGCTCCCTCCCCCACCTCCTCCTCCAACATTCATGCACCACCTCCTCCAGGAAGCCTTCCATGACTTCCAGTCTACTTCAGGCCTGCTGGTTGCCTCCTCAGAGTGCCCTAGCCCTGTGCCTTCCTCCATCACTGCTCAGACCACACTTCCACCCTTTGCTGGTTACTGTGGAACCTGCAGTCCGAAGGTGGGCTCCAGGGCTGTTCTCAGCACCCCATCTTCCAGTAAGTGTCACTGTGTTTCTGCAGATTATCTGCCGAGCGTTGGAGCAATGGCAGTGTCAGCGTCTCCGACAACCATTTCCCATGTTGAGTGTTTTCTAAACATTCTGACTGTCTGGTCTGCCAGCGCGCCAGCCTGAGACCCCAAGGACACACCTGTGCCTGGACAGGCTGGCTGGTCCTCATGCAGTGAGGGAGAGCGTGCTCTCTTGGGGGCGGCTCAGTCAGAGGGGCTGGGAAGGCCTGGCCAGAGGGTGGGCCACGGGAGGGGGCTCGGGAGGACTCAGGTGCTGTCGGGAAGCGGGGCCACGCTGTGATGTGGCAGCTCGATGCTCCGGGCTGGAAGGAGGGGGCTCAGGAGGCTGAGCCGTGACGGGTGAAGGTGCAGCCCCTACTCGCTCAGCCAGGAAGGCCTGGGGTCACCTCTGGCCGGTCTGTGCTCAGGTGTGATGGCTCTGGCTCTGGCTCGTTCCTTGTGGCCACAGAGGCCTGGTCTGACACTAGTGATGTTTGTGCAGACAGAATGCCCCGCCCTGCAGTGCGCACCCGGCTGCGGTCGCATGTTGGGGCCACTGTGCTCTGTCTAGCTCCTGACCTGAGTCCCTCTGGCCCCCATGCTTCTGAACCACTGCCCAGAAAAGCTGTCCCCAACCCCCAGCTGGATGTCACCTAGAGGGTGGTCTCTGCGTTCCCTCCTCTTTAGCCCGCTCCTTGCAGGGAGCCCCCAGTGACACCCTCCTTCCTTCCCCTCCTTCCTGGTCCTCAGAGGATCCAGGCTCTGTGCCGGGTGGCCCTTCCCACCCCTCCTCTCCTTCAACTAAGTGTGCGATGAACCCGACAGTCCATTTCCTGGGGGAACCCGGCAGTGGAGGCGGGGCAGGAGGTACCTGTGAGACGCAGACCCTCTGTTCCTGGCCTGGGCTGGTCCTCCTGTCGCCCAGGGGTGTGACCATGGCCTCGAGGAGCAGGAGCGTGTGTTTCCCACACCTGCTATGGGCTGTCCTGGGGCATTTCCATCTCTCAGGACAGGTGCCCGGCTCTGGGGGCGGCTGCTACAGTGTCCAGCCTGGAAGGGTGGATGCCCTGTGGTCTCCTCTCCCGTCACCCTCCCAGCATCCCCCTGGTGACATGGCTGCTCTCTCCTGAGCAACTCCTGTGCGACAGATGCCCACGAACAGCTTCACTCATCGTATTTCACATCTTTCCAATGCCCCATTTTATTGGAGAGAAAGTTGAGGCTCAGGAAAACTAAATGCCCTGTCATGGGACACTGCCAGCTGGGACAGAACTAGGGTTGGGGGGAGGGAACACTGCCAGCCAGGACAGAACCCCGGGTGGGGACGCTCCCCTCATTGGCTCCCTCCTCACTGGTCGAGTCCACCTCACTGGGGCCAGTGGGCAGGGGCAGCGGGAGGTGTAGGATGGCGCCCAACCCCTCCCTCCGTGTGTCCTTTCACCTGGGCAGGTAGGGAGCATCCGTCACACCTCCTGATGGACCATCGGGTGTCTGGCCTGCCCTTCACCCACGGCCTGGTCTTCAATACACTCTGGTGGCACAATCCAGACCCTCCACCTAAGGGCAGGTGACCCTGGACAGACCTGGGACCCTGGGGGAGCCACAGGCCTGGCGTGGGGCTCAGTGGTCACCATGGAAGGCCCCTGGTGGGAGGCCTGAAGGAGGCTCAGGAGGAAGGCTTGGCCCGCCGAGGCTGCTAAGCACCTGGGAAGTCGTAGGGTTAGACAAGGAGCGTCCGGAGTTGAGGTGCCCAGAAGCTCTTGGTGCGGATTCCTTAGCAGAAGCTGTGCTGTGGGGCAGGGACCGGGGACTCACCCTCCGGAGGGGAGGATCTGGGCCTCAGGGGCCAGTTCATCAGACACAGTGTGCCACGGACTGGCGTTGGGCCATCCTCCCACCTCTAGCCTCTGTTTGCAAATCTGTAAAATGGGCACAGCAATTCCTGCCCACCCAGGAGGCCCAGGACAGACGCCGGCTGTCTTCATGGCTGGGCCACAGTCCTGCTGGATCGTGGGTTAAAGCTGCCCTTTAGGGGAGAAAAGCTGGGTTAAAGCACCTTGGCTCGCTTGGACCCAACAGCGAGGCTTCAGGTTGGCCACTGTGAGACAGTGACAGCCACGTGGGCAGGTTCACATGTGAGGACGTTTCTGTGTTTAGAGCATTCCGACAGGTCGAGGCCTGGCCCGCCTGGCTGCCCGCACCAGGCAGAAGGC